CATGCCCAAGGCCGAGCACAGGAGTCAAGCAGACACCAGTCGTTCAGCTATTCTAATTCTTCGGCAGCTGAGGAAAACACATCCTCAAAACCTTAACACTAAAATCACGGGAACTTCGAGGAAGGGAGTGGGTGCTCTGTGAAAAATTGCATACGGCGGCCCCTCAGAGAGCGAGCGGTGCTGCATCAAAACATGAAGATCTGAAACTTTCTCCGTGAGATATGACTCGCGAGTCGCCAGAGGACGCATCCGCAGTGGGACTGTACATGGGAGGACATCTATATGAACCCCATAGGTGCACCATGATGCACCGCACCATCGCGGGATAGCGCGGGAACCGCGGAACCGCGCCTGTCCGCGAGCGCCTGCGGTGGGAACACCGACCGATACCTATGACCAAAATCTAAGACATTGTAATGTGTTACAACGGGGCAAATATCGCAAATATTGTAAGACATAGCATCTCCTCCAGCACCTGCGCTGCACTTCTTCTGGCTTCTCGCATGATCTTTTTCCAGGATCACGGGACTTGGTACCTAGGTTGTTGGCATCCCGCCCTCCCGCCCCAGAGTGGACGCAGAGGGGCGGCTTTTCTGGCCTCCCCTGCGCGGATGACATACCGTAACCGCTGGAATTGCTCCCTGTGGCGAAACATAGATGGGTATGGCTACTAGGCTATAGAAATCGTGTGCACTCCCAATCTCCCCAGTGAGGGGAACGATTTTGAGGTCCTGCTTCAGGGTCCCCTGGCGGTGGTACTCCTGGTGCTCGTTGTCGTAGTGTACTGGTATCTTCCGGGTCTACATGGTGTGTGCTCTTAGTCTTTCACTGTTTGGGGATCTACACGTGCAAAATGTCACTGTCATTGTGTTTGTTGCTGCATAGGTGCTCTTTCACTGTCAGGGCTCTGTACCGGCATAGTCGACGAAGGAAAGAACATGTGCAACAGTCACAGCCAGCTTGACATCGTGCGCTTTGTCTTCGATGAAACAGACAAACCAAGGGAACAAAACACGTGGTCCCAACCCACGGTGAGAAACCTGCACCTTTGGAGCGGCAAGTGGGCGCGCGGACAATCGTGTACCTGTGTCATCCGGTCAGGGATGGGCGAACTGGAAAGGTCGCCGGTGCGAGAAGAAGAGGTATACCCACTTAGGGTTGGCATGCACACCGGTGGCTTGATGCGAAGATGATTGGCACCGTGGTTGGCAGTGCATCGGAAGGATCGCTGCCGGTTCTTATGCCGAAAGTTTCCGTGGCCTGTTTGTCAAAGCGATGGCCCAGACCCCACAGCCATGAATGGGCCCGACCAGTTTCGGAGCACTTTAAGAAAAAATACGGTGTATGTTGCTACTCGTTACTGTATCGGCAAAGAGCTTCCGTCTTGAAGGGCCGTGGTTCCCCCGGACGCGCCTCGGCGGTCGCAGACTCGGAAGTCAGTTCTTGAAAGCTCAGTTACTGCATTGCATGCAAAGTGCGGCTCAGGACGCGCGCAACGGACCTGGAGGAACCACGAAGTTCCGTCCAAGCGCTGAGTTGCGAGCGTGAGCTGTTGGCAGGGCGCAACCAGCAGCTCGGAGTCGGAGTCAGAGAGCGAGGAGGTACACCGACGGGCAGGGTGCAGTCGCATTACGACAGTAAGAGCATGATCAATAGTCTGGCACCATGTGCGGCATAGTTTGTACTAAGTAGTAGTAACTGAGTAGTTTAGTAATAGGAGAGTTCTTGTTCGCTGGTACTGTACTGATTACAATTAAGTAATTCGTAATTACTGGCATTGGTTACTAGTAGCAGTAACCAGTACTGTTATATTCAGGCAGGTGCCATGGGCCGTGCAACCTTGTCCAGCTCTGAGACTGTTTCATTTAAGTTCAGTTCGCATCTTCGTGAGTAAGTACATGCTGCAAGTGTCACTGTGGTGCACTAGGGCAGAAGCTGGCGTTCCTGTGCATGCAGCGATGCAGGACTGCCGTGGCAGCGCTTGATTTCGCACAGCACAGGATGTTATCGACACTATGTTTGCAGGACACCGTGGTTCCACGACGTCCTGAAAGTGATGACGAGGCCAGATTAAAACTCACTGTCAAAGCTTGCCTGGTAAGATGCTGCAGAGAGCCTTGCACCTGATTCACGCTGCATCTGCCTATCATGCTTGCTTCGGCCAGCAAGTTGCCAGCTCGTCCCGAAGTCTCACCTTTCCCTTCTTCGCTATTTGTATTCCTGGTCTCCCTCTCTCAATCCGTGTAGCTCTCCTTCTTCGCCCTGTCTTGTACTACCGCGCAGGAAGAGAAAGGCTGCAAGCTGCCGGAGGTTCGTTGTTTGTTTAAATGCCGACATGCGGGTATAGCACAGAATCGCCGCAGGCAGTTCCGCTTGCCTTTTCTGCCTTGGTCGTGACTGCGCAGATGCCTCCGCGCATGTCTGTGCTGTAGCTCAGAGTGTGCTATTATCTGCTATTCAAGCCGAGGTTGGAGATTGTAGAATCCGCGCTTCCGCTTTACGCCGGAGCCTCTGCCGCTGCTGCACCTGCTGCTCGGACACAGCCCTCAGAGGATGGTGCAGGGCAGACAGCACCGGAGCGTCTCCCTGTCAGATCGCCTTCGACCCCATGAAGGGAAGCGGCGCGGGGTCACAGCCTCGGTGAAGAGCAACGGCTGCCCCCACCCCCCCGCTCGGTTTGGCAACGACGGCCAAGCTCTGGCACGGAAGCGCAACTGGGAAGTCGGCCTAGGTGGGGCAAGACCTTCGTCTCTGGCTTGGTGCTGCTTCTCGGCCGAAAGGGAAGCAGTGTCTAGTGGTTCGGAGTACGTGCCCCAGCCTGGTTCGCAGCTGAGGAAATACCTTCTCTATGAGATGGTTCTTTTCATATCCGAGGGTGCACCAGCCCGAGTTCTGTCTAGGAAAATGCGCACTGGCATGACTCTCATCTCCTTGATCTCTTGTACTTCGTTGCGGCTGCTGGTGCCCAGCAAGGTCCTTCGCTCCAGATGTTTCAACCGAGTTGGCAGCACGGCGCCCGGCTCGTAAGCAAGCCTGAGTCTTTATCTGTGGTGTAATGCCTTTAAAGTGCAGAACCCAGGCGTGTTGCAGTTCCTGAGCGTGTGGGTGCATGCGAACCGGATGTTTCGAGTGCCTTGGTAGCAGCAAGAAAGTACGGTAACGCGAAGTGTCTGTGTACATCCCGAGAGGTGTTGCCTGCGCGGGGGGTGGTTGGATTCATTGCCTGGCATCTGCCAGAGAAGCACAACCGACGCAATCGTGTGAACGTCTCTGTCCAATGGAAAAATCACAGTCGACATCCTCAGTGCATTTGTGAGTGTGTGTGTGTGTGTCCCCTTTTGCATGGATGCAGAATGATCCAGGCCTAGGGCAGTTTTGCGGTATTGCAACACCTAAAATATTTTTGGGCGGCCAAACGTGACATACCAATTCCGTGAGATGAGGCAAGTCAGAGAGTCAGAGCTGCAAACTGCTTTGATCTGCTTTGCCAAGGACATGTTCGTCTCCGGTGCGGCTCCAAGCACAAAGAATGCTGGTAGCTGCTTGCGATGCCCGCACGCACTCGAACAGCTGAGCAACGATTTAGGCTTCATCCTTGTGACCTTGTCTCCTTTTGTGCTGATGGACACCATCAATGCAATGATGTGTGACGAGCCGGGCCCTCGTTTGCAACGGCTAGCAGGCTTCACAGAGTGAGGTTTCCGTGCGTGTTAGCTCTGAGGTGCAGTCTGCACAACCTCTTGGTGTACCGCGACCCTGGACATCTGGCCAAGCAGGCGCCGTCCCAGCACCTGTTCGCAGTGCCTCTGCCCCTCTCTCTCTCTCTCTCTNNCTCTCTCTCTCTCGCTCTCTCTGTTTCTCCCTCTTACAGCGCTTGCGTGCTTGCTGCCCAGGCTTTCGCTCTCCACTACTCAGCCGAAGAGACGGACTCCGTGGAGGACAGGGAGGATTGCTCGCCGGCTTGCTGTGCTTGTCAACTTTTGTAACCGCCCCTCTCTACAACTTGTAGGGCGAAGCTCCAAGGGGCCCGGTTGCCGGTTCGGCTGTGCAGGACGGATTGGCTACCGGCAGGACCTTGATGCCGCGGCACCATGTCGCTCCAGCCAAAGCCTATGAAGGGTGCCTACCTGGTAGGAGAGCCAGCCGATCAGGGAGCAGAACACTCGGACCGCACTTCTTAAGTCGAGTAGCTGTCTAAGTACCTTCCGGCATGCCTTAAGTCTTCTGTGTTCCGCTTTTCGGCGAGGATCTTTTTGGGGTGGCTTGCGCACTGCTCGCACGCCCCCAGTTCCATCTGCCCCACCTACCACGACTTTCAGACGATGACAGCCCGCTCGTGCCACAGCTTCTGTGCCTGCCGTGCCTGCCGCTGATCCGCTGAGAGTACTCGCGGCGAGGCAGAGGCGGCGATGTGGCGACGAATGCGACGAAAGGGTCGCAACAAAGCGGCGAGCTAATGACCTCCACTGCATGGGGATGGGCACAAGGACTTGAACAGCTAATTGAGCTCCTTCTCTCTGCACGGAAGAGAGAGACCTATTCGATTGGGGAGGCAATGGCAGCAAGATTAGAGGACCCATGTCGCGGTATGCATCTTCCGGGGTCGCAGGCGGAGTCTAATCGGCAAAGACGCATTGCAGTGCAGCCTAGCCCCGAAAGCCTAGCACATCCCACACACAAATTAACGCACGGACTCGCCCCAATTTGCCGGGCTTGAGGCTATCAGTTCATTATATTGTAAAGTGGTTGAGTTAGCAGAGGCAACATCCGAGGGGAGAGAAAAAGGCGGTGTCCAGTGGGCCTGCACGTCGTTGTCATGACCTCATCGCTCAGCTTGCGCAGGGCTCGTGGCCTGTCGCTTCAAGATCTGGGTGCGACCGCCTTTGCGCTTTTTGCTACTGATGATGATGTGCGGTGAAGTGCAGTGCCTTGTGTGGAGGGATGGAGCATCAACTTCTTGCAGTCCGCAGGTAGTTTTGCCATTTATGGGTTTGCTGCAGGCGCAGGGCTGGGTGAGCCGGCGGTGGCTTGGCCGAAGCCATCCGGTGGCAGTTCCCTCGCCAGCACAGGCGAATGATCGAAAAGCACCTAGGGTACAGTAGATTCATCTTGTAATGTGCAGTTTTCTTGCCCTGAAGCTGCTCACGGGCTCCTTCTTCTTTGCACATCTTCGCGGTTCTTTCGCTGCCTTAGCAGTTGCTGCGAGGTGGTGCAAGTGGGCCGAACGCGTCTTGCAGGCGAAGTTCGCCGTGGACCAGCAGCTGAGGCAGGAAGAAAGGGTCGGAAATCGCGCTGACCATGTCTTTGAAGATTTCTGCAAGGCGGTGGTAGGTGCCGGTGTCGCATTTGCCTCAGCGGATCTCGTGAGTCGAAAGTACTGAAGCTTTCAGTTGGCCCTCTGTTAAGTGAAAGGAGGTCCTGGATGTGCGTGATGGCCGAGACCTGAGCGATGGCAGGTCAAGGTTGCGAGTGTCACTGACAGCTTGGAAAGGCTTGACACCTCCGGACACGAAGGATTTCTGCTCTCCGCTAAAGGCCAGCGTGCCAAATTATTGGGTCTTACTTATCCATCTTTCATATCATATGCATTTCTAGTATATGTGATGCATGCATGGATGGAGGGATGGACGGACGGATGGATAGATGAATGGATGTATCTATATGTGTACATATATATACACACACATGCATGCATGTATGTGTGTGTGTATGTATTTTTAGATATATTATGCGTGTGTGTGTATATATATATAGTATGTATGTATACATATAGTATATATATATACATATAAACTGATTGTATGTATTTATATATATATATACACATTTATGTATACACGGCTTGATTGCCTGCCCTTCATGCAGCGCGTAGCGTACTAGCCCTTTAGAACAGCAGTCAACGAGCAAGAGTACACAAGCAACTATGCACACTCTGCACGCACGCAGACACACGCAAGCAGGCAGGCAGGATCTTTGAGGTCTATCTCGAGCTCCGGTCATTGAGTGCCGACTCGCGATGACTTTCCGCTTCTGCAGGTCGTTACTGTACCCGACTTCATCGCTCACGAGCCCGTCTGGGACTCGCAGGGATGCTGCATCTCACCGCTCTGAAGTACCCAGCCATACCAAGACAGTTGGTGTGCCTTCGTAGGTCACTGACGAAGTCAATCGTCAGCAAGAAGCAACCAAAAGTGCTGCATGCTATGCAGAGGCGCGGAGCGGTTCGCTTCTTCGCTGGTGCGTCACTCATAGCTGATTTGCTGATCTGGCCCAGGCTTTGGGTTCAGCCGTGCTTGATGCTGCAGCAGCCCGCCGCTGGGGTGTTGCCAAGGCTATGATTTGATCCAGTTCCGGATCGAATGAGTAGCCGTATAAGACATTTGGAAGCCTGCCCACACTGTCAGGTATTGTTGCAGGAGCTGCAGAGGTCCCCTGAGGCCCTTGTTTGGAGTCGTCCACTACTGACTGCAAGAGCCCGAAACACTCGTCAACATGTGACGGACTTGGTTGTTTGGCAAGGCTGTGTAAGATTGTAAAGATCCGTGGGACCAGGGCCGTCACGTCCATGCATTACTTGTCTCGACTGCACATGCACTGCCACGTCCAGGTGTTGCGAAGGCCACGAGCTTGGTTTTCATGCAGACCTCCACCCTAAATCCATCCTAACCCTAACCGTGACCAACAAGTGATACTGAAATTGCACCCCCAACGAAGGATGCAAAGGTGGGTGTTGGTTGCAGTGCAAATACGACTCTAATACGACTAGCACAATATGCAGCATCATGGTTAACTCAGTAAGAGGCTCGCTTCGCCATTTTTTCTCCATTTGCAGCTGTCAGCGTCTTCTGCTCGTGTCAGACACTATGCCTGTTTGCTCTGATGCAAGGCGAGCTCTCTCGAAGGCGCGGATATATTCTGAGCTGCCTTGATACACGGACTGTTGTAGATTGTTGGATGGGCAGCAGGGGAAATCATAGTTCATCAGGAATGAAACAAGACCGCTGCTGATAGAAAGGCGGACGTCACATGCAAGACGGCTCTTCGAATGTGTGTTGTCAGAGACTCACCTGTTCCAGTGCTCTATCCGCCCGTTCGTTTCACAGCAGCTTTGATGCGAATGCCGAGGATGCACTATCCAAGAGCAAGCCGCCCTTGCTTCAGGCGCTCTGGCAGCGCACAGATGGTGTCTCCGTGCCAATGTCGACGAAGATCGCTTTAGTGGCTAACATGGATTTCTAAACTCTGGGTAGTAAGCATCGCCACCAGCCGTATCTGTCAAACTCCAAGTCATAATCACACGACGTGTCTGCCGACTCGTGCGAAGCCCCGTAGCCATCTCGTCAGCAACGAGAGAAGTGGTGCAGCACTATCGTCTTGGCCATAGAGAATCCAGCTCCTGGACTCTTCCATGTACACACACACACACATGCCACGAAGGTGTTTGCATGGAAGAAGACCGCCCCAAGACGAAAAACTACATGATGAAGCGAGCTTGAAGATGCACGGACACCTACTGCGTTCGCCATGGCTTCCCAGAACTCGAGCCTGTGCCTTAGAGCTCCGTCCGAGCTGCTGCTCCCGATCTCTGCAAGCCAGAGCTCCAGGCATGGCGGCGCCACATGGCGCAAGCTGAAGGCAGTGATACCTTGCTAGACCGCAGAGCTCGCGAGACAACTGGCACCTGTTTGAAGCTACCGTGACCATCGTGCAAGCTTCGGTCACCTTTCGACTAATCTGGCTGCATGTGGCCCAAACACGCATCTGACAATCATGGAGGCAAGCCACTTTCATGAATCGGACTTGATCTCCATTGAACAGTTCGCCCGAGCGACAGCCGGATCTGCACTGCCCTAGCTTGAAAGGTTAAACGTCGCTTGATGTGCAACTGTTTGCGTGATGAGAAGCATGGCGAGCGGCGGCTGCGAAGCTGTTCCCTTGCAGCTCGAAGACATTGAAGCGGACAGACCATCCTCCCGATCAGAAAGTTGTTCCAGCTACGAGCGTGCAGCTGTATGGATCTTTCTCTGGCTACTGGTTGGCTTTGCCGTGGCAGCTTCAGGCAAGAGTCATGCAAGTTGTACATGTCATGCCTGACAAGCTTATCCATGATCTTCCAGGCCTAGATCTGATTAGCAGATTTGCTGCTTCGACTGTCTTTGCAGACACTAGCAATGTCTACTAGTTTGTGTTGTTGGTGGGATATCTTGGTTTGAATCCAGAGGTTACCCGAAGCTTTCAGCCGCAGCATGCCGACAGATTCTGCACATGCTTGCATGTGCAGCCAGGGATCTACGCAAGAGCGTGCGGCAGTGCTGCGGATCTGCTGAACGGGCGACTGGACGCGCGCATCGGCGCTGCGAGCGCCGTGCACGGGCCTTGGAGTTTAACACGACCAGAAGCCGGCAGTTGGCGCATCACGTGACAGCCAAAGGGCATGTTGTGAAACACACGTGTGTGT